ACGTGTTACTGGAGGCCAGACGAACTCCTCTGCAATTGACAGACTTCAGAAAGGCCATGTATGGCTGTCCAGGTGCATCTTGTTCTTTCCAACTCTGATACTGTCTTACCATGTTACCCTATTTATGCTGCGAATACCGGTCAAATGAGTCTCACTAGGGCTGGAACGCAGAAATTTCACCGTGCATGTGATTTTCTTGCGCCTGCAGCTGTTCAGAGAGAGGGCTCTATATGATGCGACTAATGTGAACGGTGACTGAAATAAGGTCCATCATGTGCCTCAGTACTCATGATTCCGGTTCTCATGCTATTTACGGTCGACTGATGCACAGACTGAATGAGTCTACTTGTTGCCAGACTCAATAATCGGCTAGGTTTTACGAACGTGCACCACAATCATGAGCCCTACTCTGTTCTAATCAACACGCAGTATATTGTTTTGTTCGGAAAATTTCGGATTGGTGTGTTCTATCGTAAAATCGGTAGTTCAGATCCCGTAAGGTCTAGTTAGAAAACAACGGAATCACAAAAGCACGAGAAAATGAGGTGGGTGGGAGGAGTGTTCGACGTTTTCGCGCAGTGTTTATAGAAATTTAGTGTCTGACAACGAGGCCTTTGAATATGGTCGATTTATTATCGGATTATAGCAACATAACAGCTGCGGTGCTTATTTTCCTAGCACTGCTACATAACAACGCTAATTGTACCCATCAAGAAATATCTTCACCAACAACCTCAGTTTTCCCTAAGCTCACTCGCTACTGGGGAAATAGTTAAATTCAGGAGAAGAATGCGTCGTAAATGGAAACGAACTATCAAAATATCCTCGTAAACCGGTGGGAGCATGAAAGTGGCGAAGGTTGGCCCGTGACAAAAAAACGAGTGAGAGTCAGACATGTGCCTCTGACTAGGCATCCGTTTCGGATTTAAGCACAGAACTTCTGCAGACAAATCTGTGGTGATTCGGGCGTACGAGATGACGAGTATACCGGAGCGACGCGTAACAGTTTTTGGACAACTGCGATCAATCAAACTGCATGGGTGACGTCAACAACCCGCGTACGTGTCACTGCTTCTGACCACATATCATAGGCAGATCTTACCAGCCAATCAGAGACTGTGCGGCCCAGATAGAAGCAGAACGATACAATCAGTACTGGAACGCGATTGGTAGAAGCCCAGATAACCAATGAACTTACTTTGTACATATTATTTAATTCCCTTTATTTCTTTCAATAAAGGAACTACTACTCCGGTGGCCTTTTCCTCGCGTCTCAGTTACGTTAGATATTGCGCGCAAGTGCCAGTGCGGTCCAGTGCTTACGTAATCCATTCCGTGATTGCTAATCCTTGATTCGTATTCCGTGATCCGTATTGCGTGGTGCGTATTCCAAGTTCAGTGTGGATGACTATTACTACCACTACTACAATCATTACGAAGTCCTCAGTTCTACTTTGCCTTGTCGGGTTCCTCAATCAATATGAAAGTGCTTAGAGAACAAGCCTATCGGAATCACGTGTTGTTGTGTTTGGGTTTTGCTTGTTCTCAGTTTACTGTCTTGCTTTCGCTTATTCGTATTTTTCAATTATGCGGATCCTGCCGAATGTTCACCCCCAGTGGTGAAATAAAGCACCTAGTTGATGTGACTCGATCTAACAGCTGCACCCTGGCTACAAATTCCCGTATTCAATGATGAGATTGTACGATATTTCCCACCGTTTGCTTTCACCCGCGAGTGATAAGCAGAACTAGTCGGGACGATTGACCGAAATATTCCCTATTCTGTAACCGTGTGCACATTCTGCACTCTAATACAGACAGTCCAAAACTAAGGGACATCACTGCTATCTGATTATGCGGTAACCGTTACTCCTGTTTGCGCTCATTAGGCATCGATCGGGTAATTCCGTCAGCTCAATAAATGAACAAATAAACTTTCGTTGCTCCTGCCTTGAGCTAATTGCAAATATGTAAAATACTGCATAAAATTTACATTGTATCCCCCCCTCTCTCTCATGCCCACATCACTTACCCGAGCATTCTTAATGCGTAGTGCCAATTGGTCCGGGGAGAAACCTCCAAATACGACTGTGTGCAAAGCACCGATTCGAACCGCGGCAAGCATGGCAATCATGCACTCGACAATCATAGGCATGTAGATGAGTACCCGATCGCCTTTTTTGATTCCACAATCACGAGCCAAATAGCCGGCCAAGTGGGTGACCTGGAAGAGGGGTCCCGAGAGGATTAGGATGAGGTTCGTATTTCCAGCAGTTTCATGAGATTAAAAAGAACTAGTTTCTCATTTGTCGCGAAAAAGGAAGGTATATCTGATTTGCGAAACATGTTTTTGTTAAATTGTGGAATTCTCCGTTTGAACATATTCGGGTATTGTCACGTCTTGCCAATTGATTTATCTTACGTTTTGCTTGTCGTGTTACGCAGGCGATAAATTTTCAACTACTCATATTTCTCCCGAGGGAGCTGGAGGGCGGGGGAGGGGGAGACAATCGCAATAAACTCATCGTGATTGGCACTATTTAGAGCGGTTACTCCCTGATCATGGAATGTCCAGCTGTTCTCCTCTTCCTGACCGAGGTGATTTCACATTAGTGGATTTATGCATCTCGGCGGGATTCGAATAACTCAGTACTGGTGTAGTAACGATTTCGGCGGATGGAAAGTTTTATACCAACAGAAACTATAGTTGTGTGTTATCATGACTTACACGTGCATTTTAATATTCTATTCGAATTCAAACCATTGGGACCTGTGCAAATCCCAGCTGATAATAATTCTCATGTGTGAGTAACCAACTTAACATTTCGCTACTTGTTAGTCTGTTGTGCACCTCAGTCAATGACTTGCCCGAGTTCTATTTCAGGACATAGAAACCAGCTTCATCTATTGGACAACAATAATATCTGTTTCCTGGAGTAAAACAGGATCAGTGATGCCTTGATCACTTGATCAGTATGAGGAAAAGAACGACCGGAAGTGTTTCAGCACTGCACAGCATATTGTTTCTGAAGCATTTCTAGTTACTGATCATTTCATGTATCTCTCATGGTGATCCAGCCCTCTGTCATAGTGCCAGCCAAGGAGCTACGCAATGTAGCTTCAAGACAACCAGTCAGACACCAACAGTATGAACCAATCAAAAATCTTGCCTTTCAAACAAATAATGTTAAGAGAAGAATGCCAATGGCGATTGGTTGTTGCCTGTTTAGGCAATAATATCCTTTGTGTATGCTCTTTACCGCCTTGATTTTCTTCAACAGACTAGCCGTTACTTCTGTGATCCTTTCTCTTTTGTCTCAATATCTCTATCCATTTCAAGTAGGCAATTGTAAGTGCGACTTCTTGCTTTGATTAAAATTTTGGTTTCGATTCCCAATTCACTCGTTTTCCGAGAACTAATTTTTCCATTTCCATTTCCTCTCTATTATATGACTCTTATGTACACACCGCTAGTAAAGATCCGTTCATAAGAGGTGGGCAAGAGTTTTACCATTGGCGTACTCACTTGATCCAAAAGAACTTCGTATGTGTATTGCGACCGAGTCCCAGTCACTGGACTCTCTTGAATTGCGGCAATCTGTTGTCCAAACCCGTCCTCCACATGTCGATCCAGACAATTGTAGCATAGATTGATCTTGCCACCTTCAAACCTGAATACACAGAACACATCCAGGTTAGATTAGATCAAAAAGCAAAGGTTTGCTTACCATCTCGGAAACGGCGAGTTGGGCTCTGCGCACACGTTATTCCATTTTTTCAACCAACTCAAGTCCTCCGCCTGCTTGGCCCAAAATTCCTGAGGATTATTCACAGATTGCTGGTACGCCGATTTGTAAGTATCCTCCACAGTGGTACTCAGTCGAGCGAGTTGGTAGTACCGAGTAATTCTGTGTAATTTACTCACGCCGTACGTCCGTGACAGCATGACTGTACTGATTGTGGTGGACACCGATCAATTTGAAAGTCTGGTAATCCATGTGGACAACGAATACCGGTATTAACAAAATTCAGTTATGTAATTACAAATTGAAATAAGCTGATCGCATAAAATTAGATGCAGTAAAGCCACTTCTTGGCCTGAATTGCTTGATAATTTAAATCACTTTATTCGATTTACATTTGATTTCGTGAATCGAATTGCTGAACCCTGTTCATTTGCACATCAGATGAAACATAAGCCAGATTTCTGATCGCACTTTATGTAAATGCGCTCTTCTTGTGAACTCTTTTCTTCGTGGTCTTTTTCTTCGCAGTTCACGAAACCCTCGAAATAATGCCAGCCAAGCGTCTACGTGTTCCAGTTTCTGGACACCAGGCCATGGATTAACAGCATCGACCAATCAAAAGCCATGCAGTTCAAACAGAAGCCGTGGGACTCGAAGAACAAAGATAGTGATTGGTTGATATCCGTTCGACTAATGATATATCTATTTACACATTATTTAATCCCATTGATTTCTCGCAATAAATGAACTGCTAATTCTGTGATCTTTAACCTTCATCAAGGTGACGGGAGATCCCAGCGTACGATTGCCAGTGCGATTCTGTGCTTCAGTTGAGACCGAGTTTGGTGATCCGTATTCATTAGACGAAATTGTATTGTTTTTTTCACATGCTCATACCAGTCATCGATATACGATTAAAAGTTGAATCATCTGATTGAGTCATCTCCCTCTGTCTGTTTGCAATAGTTTGTGCCATAGTTCAGAGATACATGGGTCGCAAGATAAGGGACTTATCCAAACGGATCCGTGGAAATCCCCGAAGTAGAAAATGAAGTCACTCAGGGACACTGTTTTCAAACCTGGCCGAAAAAGCTCATGCTGGAGCGCGAAAGAAAGACACAACCCTCCATGTGGCAGAGTAAATAGCACATGAATAACTAGACAAAATTTCTCTGGAAGCACACGACCGGTTTTGAGGTTCTTGCCACTCGTTAGGCATGCGTATTCGGTAATCCTTTGTCACTTCGTTCATATACTTGTACCCTGGAAGTTTATTTTGTCGCGATAACCTCATTTTCAACACCAGGTAAATCTGTTTGGAAATTTCTTTCAGAACTAGTCCACTTTTGAGTTTAACCCATCTACAAACATCGAATCATACTATTGACTCATAAATAATCTGGTTCTGAAAGAGCTGTCCAAAACATTTCCCTGGTGTTTCAAATGAGATCTTTGATATAAATATTTTGTGTATATTGTGTATTAACCAAATGAATTCACAAATCTGATCAGCAAGGTAGTGAGGTGCGGTGAAAACATCAGTCCATTGGAACCCGTTGTCCAGTTCACCGGATCATACACCAATTGGTTGGGGTCAAATGTCCAACGTGTCCAATACACCTGGAAGCCCAGTCGATCCAGTGACCACGACCACAACTAGGAAGGTGTGTGTGCAATGCGGTGCATACACCTCTTCTTGACTGTTTTGGAATCAGGGTTTTTAACCGACACCCCAAGGTGAATTGCTATGTTGCTTGGAGCGTTGTAGTCAACTATTTTGATTCTTTTAACTGATTCTACCTCAACATAAATTTAGCATTCTTTATTATCGTTACCTAGAAATAAAACACGTTGTATTTAATGATTTCATTTCCACGATTGTTAGGTCCTTACGGGCATGGATCCTGACTTTTCATACAAATTTGCGCGCTCTAAGGTAGTTCGTTGACTTCACATAGGTAATTTTTGGTTTGACTATGTTTTTTTCTTCTACGGGTTCAGGTGAGTTGCAGTATTGATACTCAAAATCGGTTTTAGTGTGGAAACATCACGAGCGTTTGTGCTCACGTCAGTTTGAACCGTGCACCCGACTGGCACAGGTCACGTGAGTTTGAGGCACTCGCATGTGTGTTGCTGAATTACAAAGGTGTTGCTTGCTGCGTAGCGGGTGAGTTGATGTCAGACCTGAGTGTCATTTCTCAAGGATGGAGAACGAAAAGCACAGCAGAATGCTGACAGTTTGCACAAAACATATTTTCGTCACAGGTAATGTTGTTTTGGAATCTCTCAAATGAGGCTGGTTAAAATGTGAGCATAACGTGTCGCTGTGCATCTTAGAAACAATGATACACTTCCGTTAAATTGACTCAGCGAATATTTTTTATCTATCCTGTGAAATGTAAACGACCGTTTCTTTTACCACTGTTGGTGAAAAAATTCCAAAAGACCTTGAAGTTTAAATGAGATGGGATGAAGTGGCCATTAAGTTCGGGATACAGATAAGGTTGGACTGAACATAGCTCGCTAGTGTGTCTCAATCAGGATACATAACCTATCCTAGACTTCAGATCGATGGTGTGTATGTGTGTGATTTCATGTAACTAAAATAAGGAAGTGCAACCTACCTCACCCAACTGAAGTTTCGATGTGTGCCTCCCAAAAGGATGATTATTTTTGTTTCCCAGAATAAATGATATAAGCAAAAGGTGAAGCGATGAATGAGCAATTGCTTCTCGTTTAAGCCCACTCGTGTTTTGATTCTGACCTATTGGTCAATTCCTATCAACTACATGCAAAGCACATTCCTTTGTTTCTCGAAAATATTGTGTTGTATTGCATTTTGTACCCCGAAAATATAGACTTCGATATTTTAACTAAGTTGAATAACTACACTAGACTTTGAACACATAGGTGTCTATACGATTAGGGCTTTCTGGATATTCATTGAGCGGGTACATTCTTTGAATCGTGCCCCACGCGTCAGACTGGGTTGGATACCATAGCTTTTATTTAATTACGTCTGAACGCAAAGTGCTCTCATCAGTTGAAGCATTTCAGCGCAACGAACGGGATTGTAACGTAGCTTTCCCTTGGAACATGGCTAGCGAGAACGTAAAGACTAAATACCAGTCTGCTGGGAAGAAAGAGTATAATCAGCATCACGAATACCCACTTCGCAGTGGGGTTTAATACAATTTTGATCGAAGATACGGTCTAAACGACGGTTGAGCATCGTATCGTTTGGTGCGGTAAATTGATAAAAGACAGCGCGGATAGGGAAGTCCTTTACGCGTCGGAGTGATAACCCTTCGCGTCCGGGTTCGAATCTCCGTGGATTTGATGGACGAGCAACACAAAGGTGTCTCACAAGGTATATAACGCCAGTGTCGTCCAGAATTAACTAAATAAAGCTGTATTATTTCATCACAGCCCACTTTACGACAGATACAATGTTCCTGATTGTTTGACCCTAAGGAAGTTAATGGACGGTGCCACACGACCAACAGGTGATATGATAAACCTAAGTTATAATATATCAACGCTAATTAACTACGCGACAATGATTATATAGCACGCGGCTAAAGAATGAATTACCCGGTGCAGAACAATACAACCAGGTTCAGGGAAGACGGCAATTGGTTCAAGAACGACAGGAAAGGCTGTAGGTTGATTGTGGTCAAACGAAAAGAAAAACTCACCGTTCCACGATAACCACAAAAAAAGGAATTGATGCCTCGAAATAGGTCTCCTTTGGAGAACAAAAAGTACCTACAGTTTTCACTAATGCGGTCAACTTCTATACTTATACTCTAATTTGCTTGTCTTGTTGACTTCTTTTATTCGTTTATATTTTGCATCTATGATTGTCTGAGTATGCGTATGATGGTTGTGGTGGTGAAAGCCACATTTTAATTGACTGATGGTGCGAACAATCTGCTTTGAGTGACAACTTTTGCATCCATGGCTGTTTTTTTCACACGACCATACGTAATCAGTCTATAGTATTACAACTTTAGTTTCAGTATAACCCAGCGCATTCCAATCTGGTCTCAAGTTTGATTGGCCTCTTCATCCTGATGGGTGTTACATCGTCACATGATTCATTCTCGTGTTTTGTCACCACAAAGTGTATGAAACTACTATGACGTTGATGTGCATTGCACCCCTGTGGCAAACTGAAACGAGCAGGTCAGATTAAAAAAAGCTCGCTGAGAGGAATTTCTTTCGCGTACAATCATCAATTGTTCTGTATGTTCAAAAAAGGAACAAAATTAAAAAAATAGGAAATGAATATATAGAAATCGGAGTTATTTTTATACCATGCACACGCCGGCAAAATTAATAACTCTCCGCTGTACTTCAGATTCACGCACTAACCTCAGTTCAAGCAGTTAAATGTAGTATACTCGGATGTAACAGATTCAAGTTTCACTCCCATTTAGCCTCATTCGTGTTGCATGCTTACAGATCAATCTCGCATGAAAGGCTTGAGTGGGATCATTGTACCAGCAGACCCTCGGATTGGAACCCTGAATAAACCGGTAGGTGCGCACCAAAACTGAGCCCCAATGTGAGTACCACTCAAGTCTTGCACTTTCCAAGCTTGAGGTTGACAGGATGAACTGAGGAAGTTTACAGGATGAGTAGTCAATATCAGCCATTTTCAATTCAGACAAAAAATATTTGTTTGTTTCAAAGTTTTATTATGGGTGGCTTAACAAAGCTGACGCTTATCATGTCCAATATGATTTTTGGACAATGTTTCGGGTAACTTTACAAATACGGTCAATCTCACGCCACGCCGTACCCCTCGGGAATTAGAAAAAGTAATTAAATTCCAGAAAGCGGGACATCGCATGTTAGTCACTAGCAGATTCTATTAAGTAGTATGGAAAATCGATTGGGAATTCTGTAACAATACAAAACCGGATAGAATAAAAGTACGCTAATTCCGTTACTTTTCCCCATGTTTATAATTATTTACTGTTTATTCATAACGTTATTCAAATATACCATATTGCATATCCTTTACGTATCGATGACATTGAAGTCTTTTATGATGACCTCAGATTAGTATTAGTACATTGTATCTGATATTCAGCCTTTTCAGTTTCAAGCATCTAGTTACCCCGAAACTACGTAAATTTCTTCAGGGCAATTTTTTAATTCCAGTATCGCATATGAATTACAAATACTACTT